TCCCAGTACAGAAATCCCCTCTTCCACAGGAATCTCTCCCGGCAGCCTTCTCCCAGGGGCTGAGCTGCACCATGGCCAGCCCAGTCCCTCAGGCTGCACCTCGGCCTGGAATTCAGCATCTGGAGAAGTGTCAGGGACCTGTTCCCCCTCCACTACCTGTGTCCGGGGTCCCAGTCCCCTGTTAAGCCCAGCCCCCAGGGCCCCTTGTCTGCTGGGATGGGGCTCTGCACCCCCTGCAGGGTGCCCTCCCCAGGATGAGGGTTGCAGGCCCCTCGCTGGCTCTGGTCAAAGGTAGTGATCAGGGCACTGTAGGGTCCTTCCAGCCAATCCTCTAGGTCATCCCCCATCAGCACCCCCACTTCTTTGGGGCCCTCCTTAACCCCCTGTAACGGGTACAATTACCTTGAATGGGGTCCCGTCCATGCCCCTCAGGGTCAGCTGGGCGCCATGTGGTCTGGGGCCACTAGCTTGGGCCAGGCCTGCCTCACCTCCGCCCCCGTGTCCCAGGAGCCCGTCACCTTCCTGCCATCCACCTCCCGGGGCAGGAGGCTCTCGTTCCACAGGGGCACCCTGTGCCCATCCGGTACATGGAGAAACCTGTCTCTGGAATGTCAGGGCTCCCGGAGGAGCTGGCCTGAGTCGCCTCCCCCATCTGAGCTGTGTGCAGCCTGCTCCTCCTCCAGCCCCATCCAGTTAACCCTGGGAAGTCTCGAGTTGTGGAGCCTGTCCGGGGCTTTGGGGCACTGAGCTTGCTTATGCCCCTTTGCCCGCAGCGATGGCAGGTCAGGGCCCGGCTGCTCCGTCCGGGTACTGGCTGGCCCTGGGGGGGGGAGGGTTCCTCCCACCCCTGTTCTGGACCCGCCCTGTCAGCACTTCCCCCAGTTGCACAGCCGCGAACCGGTCTCTCCGGCATTCCCTTTCACACCCCCGGGATTAGACCAGAGCCCCCTCTGCCTTCTGGGGCCACCCCCCCGATCCTGGGGAACGCTTCTCCTCCGAGGCCCCACTCAGGGTAAGCTGCTTGCCTCTCCACTTCCTGGAACTGCTTCCCACGGCCTCCAGCAGGCCTGGCTCTTGCAAGCCCCCTTCCTTCTGCTGTGCCCCTGTCACTCTGCCGGAGCTCCATCCATGGGGCGCAGTCGAACCATCCTCTGCGACCACTGTGGCGGTGTGGGGGGGGGTCCCCGACCCTGCACCCCCCTCCGCAGCCAGACGTGACTCTCAGCCGGCGGGTAGAACAGAAGGTTTATTGGTTCACAGGGACGCAGTAGAGCAGGCAGTATTATTCCTCTTGGGGGGAAGGCTCATGGGTCCTTCACCTCCCCCTTTCCTGCTCCAAGCCTCCTCTCTCATCCTAGCCCAGCCGAGACTGACCTCTCCCCCTCCCCCCCAGCCTGGTGCAGCCCTGCATATCTTCTGTCTCCCTTCTGGGCCAGGGGTTATCTCCTGTGTTTGTCCCTCAGGTGTGTGGGCCCAACACACACCTGGAGTGAGTCATGCTCAGCATCTCCCTCTCTCCCCCCTTTGGTGGGGCGGGGTCCCCCCGGCCAGCCAGTGGGGGTTCCCCCAGAGCCAGCAGCATAGAAACTGTAACAACACCCCCACTACGTCACACAGGGCTGTGATTCAGGAGAAAGTAAATGGAATATTCCGTTACAGCAATGTGGGTTAAAACAGTTTTGGCCAGCTCAGGAGCTTAGGGATGTTATGGGGCTGCCCAACTCGAGGGGGCTGATTTGAATCCAGCCCAGGTCGATGGTTGGTGGCAGTTTGTATTACGGAAGTGCCTAAAGGCATCCCATTGTTGTAGGTGTGCTATAGAGACCCAGAGAGCTTGCGGTTTAAATACAGCTGTTCCCAGCCTTTCTTATGCCGCAGACCAGCAAACCCATTACAAACTTTTGGCAGACTGCTAACATTTTTATTTGCATATTCATTATGGTAATTGATTTTTAAGAGGTCACATGGGATTTTACATCACGTCTGTGTGCACAGAAGATGTGTCCTAACGGGTCAGAGTTGGCAGATCTCTACAACATGCAGCAAATTCACAGGAAGAATTCCCCTCTGGCTGCTGGGCGGGGCAGCCCCTCCCCCGGGGCGACTGCCTGCAGAGGGAGGGGCACCCGCGGGGGTAGGCGGCATGTGGGGCACCCTGTTTAGCAACTGAAATGTTGTCAGGGGCATAGCAGCTGGTGCCCCCTAGTGCTACCACCAGTCACCTCTGCCCCTCCCCCCTCCTGCCCCATGGGGTGAGGGAGCTGCCAAGCCCCCCCATCTCCTTCTGTACAACCCCTACCCGGTGTGTCTCCTTTCCCCAGCCAGGCTGCTCTTGCTCCCACAGTCTCACCCCAGCCTCCCCTCCGTGCATCCCCCCCTTCCCTTCCTATGACCTCTCCCTCAGAGTTTCCCTCCATTGAACCCCTGTTCCCATCTGCCCCATAAGTCTCCCCCGAATCCCCCCAACCTCCCCCCTTTCCCAGTCAGGCTGCTCTTGCTTCCAGCCTCCCCTTCCAGCACCCCCCTTTTTCCTCCCTGTGATCCTCCCCCTCAGAGTTTCTCTCCATTGCACCCCTGCTCCCATCTGCCCCATAAATCCCCCCCCAACCTTCCTTTAGCACTTCCTGCATCCTCCTCCTGCCCTCGCCTCACACATCCCTGTTCCCCCTCAGCCCTTATCAGCCCCCACCCCTCTGCAGCCCCCTCCTGACTCCCCCTCACGCTGGGAGCGGGCAGCAGGGCAGCTCTGCTGGGAAAAGCCTGGGGCCAAACCCTCCTCCTGCAGCCCCAGGGCACTGGGGGCCTTGCTCCTGGGGGGGGGGAGAGGAGGTGTCTCCTGCCCCCCAAGCGCTGCCTGCCCTGGGGCAGAGGCTGGCCAGGCTCGGGGTGCTGCCCTGGGAGAGCCTTCTGGGGAACAGTGGGACTAGCCCTGCTGGATATTCCCCCTTCCAGTTATAGCCGGGGGCCCCACAGCAGCCCCCACCAGGGCTCAGGGATCCAGCCCAGAGCCTGGCCCCAGAGCCCCCGTGAGCAGTGGCTGCGAGTCACTTCCTGCTGCTGGGCTTGAGCCAGCGATCGCTCCCCCTAGCTGCTGCTGCTGAGTCCTAGCGTGACACCCGGCACATCCAGCTGCACTGCAGTTTGCCGCAGCCCGGCAGCCAGCAGTCCGTGGCCCGGCGGGTGGGGGCCACTGGTTTAAAAACACAAGCCAGACAACGGGAGGGGGTAGTGGGGAAGGAAACGGTCTGAGCACAGTGAAGAATGCTGATTAGTGAGGGGTATCCATGCCCACCCACTTCCACCCTTCGCACAGATTGCCCCTTGTTGGCAGAGGGGCCTGAAAAGGCCTTAGAACCTGAACGTCCCTCTTGTCTCCATGAGGAGTCCTGTCAGATCAGGCCTGGTTCATGTTGGTAATGGGGGAGGGGGAGTGTTGCAGTCACATCTTGCATTGCCCGATGACCATGGGGGCTCGTCCTAGCACTAAATGGTTTGGCACTTTTGCAAGCATGTTTTTAAAAAGATACACGGTTCGCATTGCGAAGATTAAATCTCCTCGGGGTTACCTCAGCGGTCACGTCGCTAATGCGCAGAGAGATGTTCTTTGTGGGAGAACCTATATCGAAACAGCTCGCTGAGAACCGGTCTGTGGGGGGAGGGTGAGACTCAGCATCTAGCTACTCGTTTTGTTTTATTTATTTAGTTGGTGGTTGGTTGTTTAAATAAAAGCAGCCCGCAGCCCTACAGAGACATTGGCTTTTCCCATCCTGCACCAATCGTCATCCTACACTTTTCTTTTTTTAAAATTAATTATTGATGTTTCTCTAGTGCCTGCTGGGAATGGGGTAGTGCTTTGAGCCTCACAACATCTTTTTGAGGGACTTAAGTTTAATCTTCATTTTGCACAGGAATAGTGAGGCGTAAAGAGGAGAAGTTATTTTCCCAAGGTCATGCAGAGCTGACAGGAGTCTGTCATTCCAGTTTGCTAGACAGCCAGCTCTGTCTCCTCCTTCACTATTATTTTTTAAAATTGATTAATCATCAGATTCTATAGTAAGGGAAGTTAGTTTAGAAAAGAGCAGAAACAGCTGACAGCAATAGAAGCAGACAGACTAGGACCCTAATTCCAGAAAAACATTCAAGCATAAGCTAAATTTTAAGCATGTGCCAACGGAACTTACGCAAGCGCTTAACTCTAGGCACGTGCTTAAGTTCTTTGCTGAATTTGCACCTGAAATACTAAGAAAATGTGTGTGCTAATGTAGTGGAGATGATTAAAACCATAGCAGCTAAGGTAATTACATTATAGAAGGCAAAGGAGGAGAACTTTGAAAAGGAAACGAACAGCAGAGGAATACTCAAACTCCTGAAGTGAAAAATGATATCTGAAAAGTGTTAGTTTCTTGGGCTGTTTTGGGGAATCCCGCTCTCCCCCATCTAATTCAGTAGTTTCTGGAGCTTCCAAGTCACCAGTAGAACTCTGTTCAAAAAACACTTTCCATTCCAAAGTCTGGGAAAAGTTACTCCTCTGCATTGCTTTCCTCTGGGCTTTGTGGAGTTGGTTTCTAATTATTTCTTGAGTGCTGTTTGTATGTGTTTGTGCAACTGAATACAGGAAGGCCCTCGAGAATACTCTGTGGAAATACTTCCATATAAAACAAATACCAGACTGGCAAGCCATAGATCAGTGAGTCTGAGATTGATTTAGACGAGACTTAAAGGGAAATAGTGATGTAATTGGGGAAATCCTTTATGGGAAAGAACTACAGTAGCCAGATTCATGAGACAGTTTTACTTCTAGAGAGTCAGGGCAAACCCACTTGCTATGCTTATTCCTGGATGTTACAGCCATGGGCAATACTAGGATCCCATACTCTATGGACACTTTTGTGAAACATTCGCCGTATGTCTCCCTCCAGAGTTTAAATGAGGTGCGGAGCCTTGGCATGAGAGCAGAGTTGTGGTGCGTTTCCAGTGGAAAGACGAATCCACATTCACCTTTTCCCATGTACTGTTGCTCAGGGGGTTTCCAGCCTTTTTTTCACTTGCAGGTCCCTAAAAAATTTCAGATTTTTAAGCCCTGGGCCCTTATGGAACTCTTAGACACAGTCTGTGAATCCCTGGGGTCTGCAGACCACAGGCAGAGAACCACTGTTTTCTGGTAACAATCTTTTGCAGACCCCTGAGAGGAGGTCTGCAGAGCCCAGGTTGAAAACACTGCTATAGTTGATTCCCATACACCCCTTCAGCTTGCGATCCCTTTGCTGTTGCTAGGTTATAGTCCATGTAAAAGTCCAGCCTGGCACATCATCCTTTCACTGTGATTTGGTTTCTGTACTGAGACCCACAGTCTGCGTTTAAGGTAATTCGGTCACAGTAAATACGCTGCACCCGACAGGAACCTGCCATGCTGGTGGCATTTTGCTCCTCTGTAGCATTGTTCAACCCAGTGTATCCAGCTTCTTTCATGTCTTCCATTGGCCTGCCCCTTGTGCAGCTAGCCTCACAAATGGACCCCACTTTGCACCGGTGTGAGCGTCTGCATGAGGGGCAGGACGAGAGAGAATCCGTCCTGAAGATTTCCAGCGTACCCAAGGTCAGTCCCATTCATCTGCTCTCACCATTAAGTACCAGATTTACAACGGTATTTAGGTGCCTAAAGATGCAGCTAGGCTCCTGGGGGAATTACATAAGCAACTAAATGAGTTAGGTTCTTAATTCCCCTTAAGTTAGGCACCTAACCTGCTTAGGTACCATGGAGATTTACAAAAGCTCCTCTCTGCATCTTTCTGTGCCTACATACCTTTGTACATCTAGCCTAGAATACAGACCCTCCCTCTTCCCAGAATCCACTGCATTTGAGGTAAATAATTTGCACTGTTAAATGTAATAGACCACTGGGTTGCAGTGGGTCCAGGGGCAGACTGCGGTTTAGAACAATGACGTTCCTTGCCAAAGAATGGCTGAGTCATACAAGGGGCATTATCAGAGGAAGACGCTGCATTTGGTGTTGCCATCTGGGCTACTGTTGCTGTACAGCAGTGGTCCCCAATGCGGTGCCCGCGGGTGCCGCGGTGCCCGCAGGCGCCATGGTGCCCGCTGGGGCATTTATGTGCGCTCTCCTAGTGACCAGGGCCAGCCCAAGCCATTCTTGTGCCCTGGGAGCGCAGTGCATGCGCGGCCCTGCCCCCGGGCGCCCGGCAGCCCCAAAAGGTTGGGGACCACTGATGTAAGGAGTAGCATTTCCCCTGCTATGTATATATCAGTGTCTTTCCCCTTTGGCGGAGCTGTGCTGAGCTCCAGAGCATCGTGTGAGTGAGAGGCCATTAAGCACGCCTTTGGCTAGCATCCTGCATACCTGGCCACCCACATTAACTCCACTGAGCTCACTCAGTCCTTTGGCCCCTGCCTGCTGTGGCCAGTCAGAGGCAGAGCTGCAGCCGTTACAAGAAGCGCAGTGTTCCTTCTGAACAGCGCTGCTTTCCCAGCCTGCATTCCCCCCAGCTCGTTCGGCTCCAGGACGCTCTGTGCATGGCTGCCAGAGCTGGTTTCCTTCCTAATCTGTCCCGGAGCTGGGTTATCACTGGCTTATCTCCTTAACCATAGGGGTGTAAACAGATGACCAAGAACAACTGAGATTTTCCCAGCTCGGATTCTTATTCTCAATATTTGCATGTAATGCCCATAAAAGATCTGTCCGGCTGCCGGCACTTGTGCCCGCGTGTTCCCGTAGCTTCTTGCATGCTCAGAAGTAGAGGGGTTGCATTATGAAAGCACAGGCGCTGCGCCTGCTTGGAGTTTAGCTGGAGAATCAGAGTAGCGCAGCAAGCCCCTCTCTCTCCTTCTAGAGGCTGCTGAGGTATTGGCAGAAAACAGCATGCCTCTCAGCAGGTGGTCCTACTTGTAATTATATTGTTAATCAATTTAAGGGCCTAGCTTTATGGAGGGAGGTGAAGTCCCGATTATGCAGAGACCTGTGTGCTTCCAGCACTAGAGAAAGAGCAGTGGGTAATAGTCTGCAAGGTACAAAGCGAGTGAGGAGCCATCGCTCCATGATAAAGTGCGTATCGGAGGGAGCAGGGACTGGCCATACTGATGTGGCGCAGGACAAAGTTCTACACCTCCTGCATTCTCCCTCATGCCCCTCTCTCCTTTCACAGGTCCGACAGCTCTTTCAATTTTATGGCCTTCTTCTTCATCTTTGGTGCCCAGTTTGTTCTGACGTTCATACAAGCAATCGGCATCTCCGGCTGGGGAGCATGGTAAGAAGGCTTTGAACGGAGCACTCCAGCCATGTCTTCTCTCGGGCTCGGGGCAGAAATTTTGTCCCGTGAATTCAGCCAAGGTTCCACGTTTCCGTGCATTAAATGCTGATGTTTTGGGGAAAGGGGTTTGTGAAGAGTTGGGCAGATGATAGGGAAGGGGGTCAAACAAAGAAAGGGTCCTGGTTGGAGTTGAGGGCATGTTCTCCGCTCTCTCGCCTCGCTTAGGGTGCATCTACACAGCACCCTAAATTTGACATAAAAAACGCAATTTGCATCTTATTTCAACTCTATGTCCCGATAGCATATTTTGAAATTTGGCGTGTCTACACAGCACCAAATTTTGAAATAATGCGCTATTTCGAGCCATCCCTTAATCCTTGGGCAACGAGGTTCACCGGGATGGTGAAATAGCGCACCTATTATTTCGAAAAATATTTTGAAATAACAAGCAGCTTGTGTAGACGCAGGGTAGCCATTTCGGGATACCTGTAGACAGTGGGGCTATTTCGGGATATCGGTATCCTGATGTAGCTACCCCGGGTCCTTTAAATGCACCCGTTATTTCGAAATATTTTTCAAAATAACAGGTATGCTATTTCGGCATCCCTGTAACCCTCATTCCACCCGGGTTAAGGGATGTGTCGAAACAGCACGTTATTTCGAAATCTGGCACTGGGTAGATGTGCCAAATTTCAAAATACACTATTTTTTAAATAGATTTGAAATAAGATACGCAATTTGTGTAGCGTGAATAGTGTATCTTATTTCAAGTTTAGGGTGTTGTGTAGAAACACCCTAAGATAATGACTTAATGTGTTACATGAATTGAGCCTGCGTAAGATTTTCATCCTACTCTTTCAAGGCTATGTCTTCCCCTCTCCCCATCTTTCCTCCCCGCCCTCAGGATTGGAAATAACCATTGCTCCCTCCATATGACCACAACAGTTCCAAAGAGAAACCACCCATGAGTTTGTAGCAAGGTTCCGGTCTAACTCCTTGGTGGTGTGAGGGAGATATCTTCTCTGTTCTCGCCATCTTCCCTCTGCGCATCAATTTCACTTCATCTCCGGTCCCAGGGTTCTAATTGGAGGGTATGTCAGTGACCTTTCTGTAATCTGCCATCTTTAGAGCGCGGGATGCAAATCCCGCCGAAGCTGGAGAATAACAGAAAAGCAAGTGCTGTGCTTAAACACTAGTCCTCCCAGGGCCCCAGGAGAGAAGTGGAGACAGAACTAGGCCAAGGTCTCCTCTTTGGTCACTTCCTGACACCTCACCATTTGACTGGCTTGCTGGGGTGCCTAGAATTTCAATACCTGCATATGCTGCAGGTCAGGACTGGAGGCGCATTAGCAGAGATGTGAAGGGGAAGGAGCTACCTATGGGGCATCTGGGTTTTGGCCTCAGTTCTTCTCCATTCACTTCCCAGAACGCTACAGCTCGCAGATATTTTGCAGTGGGGGGTGGAAAGCGCCTCTCTCGGAGTCTGGCCCTGAAAACAGAAGCTAGTAATGCTTCTCTGTGTTGCGCTCTCTTCCAGTGGATGGTTGGCAGCCATTACCTTTTTCAGTACCAGTGTCGCAGCTGCTGTGTTCATGCTGTTTCCAGCCATAATGTTTACAATGTCTGCTGTGGCAATGTCCTTCTATCTCCTAAGGGTAAGTACTTCAATTGCCTTTCTGGCATGGAGGGTCTACTAATTCCGCACAGCAAAGCAAAGTGAATCATCAGCTTGGTGGGAACTAAAGTGGATTGAGTATAGACAGCGAGTGGGCTGTCCCCTGGCCACACCGGATCCCGGACAGGGCAAATCTGGATGAAAGGTTGAGAGTGCAATTGAGGATTCTTCCCATGCAGCGTGACGGTGTCCTCCCAGCATGAATCCACAGACAGCCATTGGTTCTGAGTAGGGATGTAATAGTGTAGCTGATTAACCGATAAGCTTTTCCTTATCGGTTAAAGTCTATAGACTACACTACATGCATTCCCCGCCCCCCAGCCAGTAAATGTTTTAGCAGGCTGGCCAGCAGCCCCTGCTGTGGCTCTGCATTTAAAGTGTATGGGGAGCCAGGTGGGCAGGCAGCCTGGCTCAGTTCCAGCTTGCACTGGGTCTGGGAGCTCAGACCAGTGC